GTTCTGGAGGCCAGAAAACCAAGATCAAGGTGTCAGCAGATCTAGTTTCTTCTGAGGCCTCTCTTCTTGGCGTGTAGATGGCCCTCTTCTCCCTGTGTCCTCACGTGGTCTTTTCTCGGTGTTTATTTGTGTCCTGATTTCCTTTTCGTATAAGGCTACCTGTCATACTGGATTAGTCACACCAATGACTAATCTTAATTAGCTCTTCCGAGACCCTGCCTCCAAATACAGACACATTCTCATGTACTGTGGGTTGTGATTTCAACATGAGTTTGTGGGGAACACATATCAGCCCATAACATACCCTCCCCCCAAAGGCCAAAAGGAGGCGGGGAAGCCTGGGTGTGAGCGGCAGATGGAGAACCCTGAGCCAGCCTCTCCCCAAAGGTGTCTTCTGTTGACGATTTCTGGGGTAAAACCGTGTAAGCCCTCCCTACCCAGTGTCTTCTAGTGTCTCGCGTCTCCTCATGGCCACAAAAATGAATTCGACACAGGGCTTCCTTGAGATGTGATTTAATTCTCACAAACATCTGCAGTGCGTTGCAGTCATAAACTGTAAGTGTTCCCTCCTGCGTGGAACTCGGGTCTGTGACCGAAGGGAATCGTCCCAGCCCGTGAAGCTCTAACCCCCAACTGCATGTGTTTCTTTGTCCTCAGGAGCCCGAGAGGCAGTACATGCATATCGGCACCATGGTGGAGTTTGCGTTTGCGCTCGTGGCGAAACTGGATGCCATCAACAAGCATTCCTTCAACGACTTCAAGCTGCGAGTGGGTATGTTGTGCAGAGACCTGGTTTTCCATCGTGTTAGGGTGTGCCGTAAGGGCGCATTTACAGGAAATGTTGGTCACCCTCGCCATGCTGAATAAGAGCAACGGCAGATGGTCTTTAGGCCGCAGGACTGGATTGCAGGCGGAAGGGCTCGGGCAGTGGCGTGCCCCTCAGGCACTTTGCACAAAATAGGAAAAAAAAATTACCTGCTGTGGTTGAACCCAGGCTTTAAGCACTTGGTTGAGCAAGTAGACTGTGAACTGGGTTTCAGTCCCACTGCCACTGCCCCTCCAGCCAGGGACACGCCATGGCATGCCCAAGCCATAGTCATCCTTAGAAGCTCATGCAAGCCCTTGACCTAAGTCAGTCCGTTACTTCATGGACTGCAGCCAATAAAACTATGACCCGCCATGGGCTTGAAGATGCATCCAGACTTCAGAGAAGTGAAACTGTGGAAAGAAATATTTTTTTAATGCGTCTTAGAATTGTTAAAATAGTCACACTCCTAGGGTGTTGTGAGTGGGACCTGGCTATCAAAGTAGCAGCTCACACACATTTGTGTCTTTCAACAATGTCAGACTTTATTAGAATAAAGCCATGGATTTAGGCCTACTGACTCAGTTTCCCACGGGCGTTAACCAAGGCTCCAGCCAGAGGAGAGCCTCCAACCATTAATGTAGAGCATTTTCACACAAGAGGGCAACACAGGTTGGCAAGCAGTAGGGTTAGGCGAGGCGAACAGTCTTACAAAAGAAGGATGAGAGAGTGAGTCAGTGTCCAGCGAGAGTGCCTTCGGCATTGGGGTGGGTGTGTAGTGTTGGGCATCAGGCCAGGCTGGTGAGATGGTCAGGAGGCGAGGCTTCAAGTGCTCCATCTGGGATGGGTGCAGATGCAGCTGTCAGCTCATCGGCTGAGGGCTGAGCGAGGGGCCATCAGAGAGCTCTGATCTTATGCTCAAGACTGGGTGCAGTGCCCCCATCTGCAGTCCCATAAAACGTCCAAGTGGTCACACTCCACTCTGTATCTGGAGTTACCTGATTAGAGTGATCCCTGGGTACATCTTTCACACGGTGCCCTGGCATGACTATCACTTTTTGACTGGCATAGCTATCAGAATTATTAGAGTCCATTTTGTGTTCATAATTAATGCTTTATACATAGGGTCATGACCTACAAGAATGCCAAACTCGCAAACAAGTGTCCTAGGTTCTGAAATAGCTATAGCTTTTCAAATTGAATATTCAATTTTAAGAGAAAATTCCAACTTTCTTTAAAAAAAAATTCTAGTAAGTTCTTTCCTTACTTTTAATTGATTCTTTAGCATGTTTCATGACTACTTGCCTTTTACAATGTTTATTCCCCAAAATGCATGTGTTCGGCCATCATGCGAGCCCACAGCTGCCTTCTGATGTTTGTGCAGTTACTTGCAGCCCTTCATGACTTGTAAGAGCTGCTTTGACCATTTTATGTTATTCTTGGCAACACATTTTGCTTCTTCTGAAAGCGAGTCCACGTGGAGTAGTTCTTTTAACAAATTCCATCTGACTGGCTTTTCACTTCTCTTGCACAGATTTCAACTTTTTAAAAAACCTGATATTTAGAGCTATTTTCTTCCTTTGCTCTGCATATGTTCTGAATTTTTAAACCCAGAAATATTTTACGTCTCTTGAGCAGATGCAGTTCTCTTCTCTGTATGTCCTGTTAATTGTCAGCATCTGAACACATTTCTGTGTTATATGTTCTCACCTCCTTGCATGGTGGACCTTTATCTGGGCTCCTCCGTCTACAAGGTGACCAGGGCCAGGGCGGCAGGAGACTGCCCCATCCCCCACTTCAACCTCCCTTTGCCCCTGGGGAGGCTTTATTTTAACAGCTTGGAAAATGGGGTCCTCAGACTTTCACATTTACCCTCCTTTAAAAAAATACATCTATCACATGGTCAAGTGACCCCTCTATTGTCAAACTATGGACCAGAACAATATTGCAATTCACAGTGAGGAGGGATGATGGCGGTATCTGCTAGTCACATGTTCACATCCAAAGCGCAGTGTGCTTGGTCTGGACCGTAAACAGTGTTTTCAAGTTGCTGTGAGCAGTGGAATGACCCTCCTTCAACAGGTGTTTATTGAGTGCCGACTTGACACTGATTATCCAGTAACTAATAATATCTGCACTCACCCCACGCACCAGCTCTTTCCTGTTATTCCCAGCATTTCTAAGGAAGCCTAGGCTCCATGCTTGACGTGGCCTTTGAGTCTGCCTTTGGCCTCTCCCAGGGGGCAGTGTCCTTGCCCCATCTCGGTGCATAGCACCATCCNAAAAAAAAAAAGTGGAAGGAGCCTGTAGGATAAGGTGGGAACAAATATGAGAATGCTACACAAGCTGCAAATAGCAAGAACTTGACCATGTTTAGATGCCTGCGCAGGGAGGGGCAGGGCAGGGCAGGATGGCAAAGTTGTTCAGACGGAGGCCGTGGAGTCAGATTGCCCGGCTGCAAAGCCTGGGTGTGCCACTCCCAGGAGCTCTTCACCTCTCTGGATTCTCCTCTCCCATCTGCACCATGTGGGTAAAGGTAGAAACGGCTTCATGAGAGTCACGGAGAGGCCTAAATACGTACCTAGGACATATATCCACCCACTATTGCTATTGAGTGTTCTGAAATGTCCAGCAGCCAACACATGTTCAGTGTTCCAGTGTGAATGAGGTGAGATCAGAGCACTCACTCATTAATATATTTGAAGACCAGGCCACATCAGGTTGGAGTGAGGTCCTTCCTGGGCCCTGACCCAGGTGCTAACAGGTCCTGGTAACCATGACAATGGGTCCGTAATGAGCAGTGCGTTCAGGAACTTCCTCATGGAAAATGACTCAACTTGTTGGATGTTTGCTGGAATGTCTGTTAATGTGCATTTTAATAAAATATGTTCTCTGTAGAATGAGATCAGGTGGAGAACAGTGATAGTCCAACTTAATCCAAGTTGAGTGACTCTAGAGGGATCTATGTAGCAATCAGGACATTTCCCACAAATGCTATTCCATGCCTCTGAGTTTTGATAAACACTGAGAAGCAGTGAGTTCCAGTCGTGTTCTCTGACAGGTACCTGAATGTCAGGTATTCTGAGCCGCTGGAGTGGGGCCGATCTTCATTCAGTAGCCATCAGGTCACCTTAGAGAGGACTGGCATCCTTTGGAGAACTGTGAGGTCTGATCAAACCACCCCAGGAGCCCCAGGCAGAGAACGCGGTGCTCCTTAGACAGTTCTAAATCTTCAAGGTCAGACAGACGATCGCCAACATAGCAGGTGCTGAGTGAGCACGTGATGGATGGAGGAAGGGGAAGGAGAAGAGAGGGGAAAGCGGGAGAGAAGGCACGTGTTCATTTTAGCCTAAACAATTACCTTGGCTGCTACCAAACAGTGCCCTGGATTAGAAGACATCCTCAGGAAACATGCACGTACTTTAAGCAGTGTTCCTTGATGGTGCAACTTCGGAAACAAATAGCTTGCAAAATGTATTCCAGGAAACCCACTGCATCACCTCGCTGTGTGGCTGGAAGTCAGTTAAATATTTGGAGATAGCTAACAGAAATTATTTGGATCACAGGAGAAATAACTGCTTCCTACAGCCATCAAATATTTATCAAAAGCTCAGCTATAAGGACTTTCTGAAATGAACTGAGCTCTTCTAGAAATTGAGCATGATTTTTTTCCAGGGTTTACTAAGCCCAAATGAGTTCTTGACGTTGGATTTAAACCCCATTCCCAGAACTCAGCCTCTTCGTTTATTACTGAGGTCACATACAACCTCCTACTTAAACCCCACTGCAGGAAAACAGATCAGGTGATAATTTAGCACGGAGCGAAGCTGGTTTGCTGCCCCTTGATTGGGCAACAAGCAAACCGTTTCTCCCGCGGCCAATCTGTTCTCCTTGCTAGGACACTGGTAATTCCTACTGTACAGGATTCTGCCTGTTGACTTAACAGTGTGTTCTCTCCACTAAGGAGTACAATGTTTGCCAACTGACGGCACAAGCCTCCAAATCAACTTCTCCTCCTAAGTCACGAGACAAGAAATATTAACAAATTCCGATACTGAAGGAAAAGTGTACCTGTCCTTAAGGAATGACTCAGCATTTCCACCAAAGTTACCTGGCAGTCGGCTCCGGAGTTCCAATTTTTTTAATTGGTTGGTTTTTCTCCCACAATTTGAAGTTATGGATTTATGACAACAGTAGTATTTCATTTGTGTTTTCATAGATGGATATAATTCACCTTAGGAAAGGAAGAAATTTTTCTCTCTGAACCAGAAATTTAGTTCTTCTTCTCTATTCATATTTATTTTATTTAGTGCAATGGTCTCAACTGGGAACAATTTCACCCCCGAGAGGACAACTGGCAATGTCTGGAGACATTTTGGGTTGTCACACTTAGAAGGGGGAGCTGCTACTGACCACTGGTGGGTGGAGGCCTGGGGTGCTGCTGAGCACCCTCCAATGCACAGGACCCCCCAGAACAGAGAGCTGGCCCCCCGCATGTCAGTAGTGCGGGGCTGCAGAACCCTGCGCAGTGCTCTCCCCTTCGCTCCCGTTACTAAAATGCTGTGTGAATCTGTTGGATAATCCTGTCGTTTTTGTTTTTCCTTAGCTGCTCCCCTGCCTTTCTCCATCTCCCTGGCATCTTGAATGAGCGGGTTATGTCTGCTGTCTTTGTTTTCTTTCTCGCTCATCCCAACTGAAACCCCCAGACTTGGTTTTTATCTTCATCCCCATAGAGAATGCTCCCCCAGGTCACCAGGCGCCTCCTCTTTCAATGTCCCCAAGAGCTTACCGGATCTCTGATTGAGCTCCTGTGGGGCCCAGTGGGATTAAACACTCGTCC